ATATACATATGTATATTATTTTTGCTCCGTGCTTGGTGTTACGCTTAGAACTGAATGTGCCAGTAATGGAGCTGTGACATCCAGTTTGTAAAACCGAGTAAACATGTAAGATGACGCCCAGCTTGCTGCCGCACAAATCTCTTGCAGGGATACTCCTCTGAGTAGAGCCCATGGAGAAGAGCTTAAGCCCCTAGTAGAGTGGGCACGCAGGCCCTCTGGAGGCTGATGTCCTTATGAACTATGGGCCAAAGAAATTGCATCAGTTATCCAATGTGCAAGCCGCTGTTTGGAAACAGCTTTTCCATAGTGATTTTTAGCCCAGGAGACAAATAACTGGTCACTCTTAATGACCTTCACATAAATCTGTAAAGCGCGCCCAGGACAGAGACTGTGTAGCCTTTCCTGTTCCTGTGATGAAAAAGGGGGAGGATGGAAGGCCATCAACTCAGTGGGAGAATATGACCCCAACACTTTAGGCTCAAAAGCTGGGCTGGGAAGCAAAACCACTCTGGTCCCATCTAAAGAAAATTTCATGCAAGATGGATGCACTGATAAAGCGTGAATTTCGCCCGTGCGCTTTGCAGAGACCAGTGCTTTTATAGCGCTGTTTTTAGAGCTACTACAATGTAATTGTATCTTTGTGTGAGTTTTTCAGATTGAAAATGTATATGTTAATTGCATAATATATAAGCATAATAATACAAATGTGCCAAAAGTGCTAAATTGATGATGTAATATAAATCTATTGATTACATTGTCATGGTTTACTTATTGCATATAAATTTCAAGACTGAATTAAGTACATGTCTGTTAATACTATCGTATTTGTCTATTTGCTAATTGTGAATGATGCTATATACTTTGCTGCTGTGTCTGTGCATTAGCCTTTAAATCTGACATAGATTGACAATAGAGCTAATTTACTGAACCATTTAAATAACTTCACAGAGCTTCAGTTTCTACACTAACAAAGTCAAATAATTTTGCAAAATAACAGGCACACACAAACACATACACTATCCAGTGACTGAATACCTTTAATAATGTAACTTACACATGTAGTGTTAATTCACATTCAAATATACATATATATACCTTTATTTGTCAATATAACATGCAATATAGTTCAGCATGACTTTTTCAAATGAGAAATATAAAATTTGCCCCTTTCTTAAAGCAAATGTACATGGTCAAATTCTACTATTTAAGAGGACATTCCATTTTGGAATTAATTATGTTTTTTTTTCTTATACCTAACTTGTGATGAAGATGTGTGATGAAGATGCAGCAAACCGGTGGAACTTACATTTAAATGCAAACGTTTCCTACACCATCAAGTCACTGTTACACCTGCTGCCAAATTTCAGTGAGCCTCACTATTTAAGGGCTGAATGCTCTATTTGTCCTGCTTAATGTGGCAGACCCTCGACGGGAACCAGCAAACAGAGGGTTAGTGCTTAGGGGCCGGTTTGGGATTGGGACTACAAGTGCCGCAGAAGCCTGTTAATTATTCTCACATCCGACTTTGGTCTAAATCTAAAACATGCAAGGCAATGGTACTTGAGGACCAGGATTGAGAACCACTGCTTTAAAGTACTAAAGAGGAGAAGCCATTAAAGTGCAGACAGAGAGCTTTAAACAGGCAAGAAAAAAGTGGACACAAAAACGGCTCAAGCCTGTAAAAGTATTAGGTTTCAACTATCATCCTCTTGTGCCTAATATATCAACAACCATCTTCAAGATGTTTCATCACTGAGTCTTCGCTCAATATTATATTCTGCGGATTTCTACTATTTTTCTCAATTTCTATGAACTTTCTTCAGATTTTATTTTTCAACATTTTCAATCATGTTTTTTCTCAATAACAGATTATTTACTGGTTTATTTGACAGGGATTTCAGTTATAATATAAAATTATATTGAATTATGAGTTACAGAAAATGATTATTGTATTTTAACATTTTAAATAAATAATTTATAAGCTTTGAAAAAAAAGAACCTGCAGTAAACCTTTTAATTATATTCTCATTAATTGACCTTAGAATTCAAAAGGCCTGAGTATGAACACTGCAGAACTACATCTGGCTGCAGATCTACCTGTAGGTTGTGATTTCCTTAATAACCTCTGCCAAGAAAGTTATCTTTTAAGGAGAGTTTGTGTGTCTTTGTGTGTGAGGATTATTTGAAGAGTTATAGACGGATTTGAATTGAATCTTTATCAGAGGTGTCCCTCATGCCAAGTAACAATCTGTCAAAGGTTGGTGATGATCCACATTATAATCTGGATACAGGATTTTTTTTTTAAAGATTCGCCAACATTGTGGGGGTTTTGGTGGAACAGCAGTTCCCCACTAAACCAGAGAGTGACAGCAGTGACTATTGACAGCCTCAGCGTTGGAATCAAAATGTCCAGAGGTATTTTACTGAGAAAAAAAATTGTTGTTTTTTAGCAGGATCAATTGCAAGCTTGAGAACATATTTTATGGAAAAATTCCTTTAAAATTGCCAATGATCCAGGTCCTATTCAAGTTTTAGCTGTATGTGTAAGTCACAAATTGGTTCAAAATGTGCTGCTTGCAGAGGTCTGCGCTCTCAGATACTTTTCTAGAATTCACTGATTCTGTGTTTCAGGCTGATTTTCCAGGCCAGTCAGAAGCTTTTTGATCCGTTCACAAATTTCATGGTCTTTGATTCTGTACAAGGTCTTCTTTAGCTCTGTGACGCTTGTCTCGCGATACTTGGATTCTATTGGGATCTCTGCTGCCATCATGTGGTACTTTATAGAACCGCGACTATCCTTCTTATTGAAGAATGAATATTTTGCATAAGAATTGTAAAGCATCTGTTTTTTTGCTAAATCCAGGTCTTTTCTATCCAGTAGCTCTTTATAAATCTTATTAGCTTCCGGCTTGCCTGCCTTTGCTAATAACTTTGCTAAATTTATTTTATCTCTAGGATTAGATTCACCATAAGAATCAATCACTTCCCTCTGAAGTTTGATTGCTCTATTGATTTCTCTGTCTGGAGGATTGTAGTCTGAAAAAAGGATCTTTATCGTCAAACAGGAGGCAACAAATCTCTTTAAATAACGTGAGCCAGGATGTCTCTTCAGGGCTTCTTCAGCTAATTCAAGTTCTGCATCTTTAGATATATATTTCCTGTAAAGACGCAGTAATGGTCTCATTCCATTGTAACTGCTTGGAGACCTCTTTAGTACCCTTTCAGCCAATGCTTGAGCTTCATTCTGGATTTGTTCTCCTTTTGCAGCTCGTGCCTCCAGATAAAGAGCAGCAACATATAAGTTTTCTGGATCTCCTTCTGTAGCAGATTTCATTCTCTCAAAGACGTCAGAAGTCATGTCTTTCATGTTTCTTTTGTGGGCTTCTGCCTTTAATATGGCCCAGCTGCTCTGCCATTCTTTGATTGGCTGCATTTCTATGGCTCTCTGGAAGAGCTCGGCAGCCTTCTCTTTGTCAAACCTCATCAGGGTCCAGGCCTTCTCAGCACAGACCTCTGGGTGGAGCTCTTCTTTAAGTGGAGCCGGGTATTTACTCATCAGAGCTTCAGCTTTTGATAAGTAATCCTGACTCCTCTCATCTTCACCCATAAGATGGTGCAGCCAAGCCAGATTCCCAAAGTTCACCATCAACCAGGGACCTTCATCTGAGTTTTTAAGAAGCTGGAAGGTCTCAGTGGCTCGTCTGAAGAACTTCAGGGCCTCTTCAGAGGAGCCCAGCTTATACTGGAGGAATCCCCTCAGGTTGTAGATGTGACCCAGCCAGACGTTTCCCTCCTCTGTGCCGATGTCCTCCACAATACTCTGTATAACAGTAAGTCTGTGACTTCCAGGATCGAGGTTCCAAGTGAAATTGCACTGCAGTGCCTCCAGTTTGTTCTCCAGACTCTGAGCAGAACTGATGAGAAAATAAAGATGACAGATATTAACCTGCAGCAGCAGAAATGTCACATATTGTGGGTAACAAGAAAAGAAATGTAGTAAATACATTAGTTTCATTGTTCCTGGAACATCCAGGCTTTTATTTAATGTAGCTCTTGGTTATTTCTGTCATTTCCAGCATCTGAAGCTCTGATCCTATGAGAAGGTCTGTCCTGCTCCAGGTTTTTAGTCACATGGTTTTATGATTAGAAGATTTTCTGTACAATCCGCTGATGTCATGATATTTGAAATCAGCAATCAGGTAAAATTGTGCTTTGGCTGAAAAGTCTTTTGGAATCAAAACAAAGCTTGATACTGATTGTAAAATGTTCCAGAGATTAAAAAAATAATCCTCAGCTCTAGACTAGAGACTGACATTTTTTCGGGAATCCCACGGGTCACGGGATTCCCGTGGGATGGGAGTCAGTATTAGTAACGATCACGTGATTGGGACGGTACAGGATTAAACATTAACGGGAGCAGACGGGAGCGGGAGCAAACCAATAATAACTAAAGAAAAACTAGGATCGATGCCAAAAAAATAAAATAAAATAGAAAGAAAAAAAAATCCAGCACTGGCGCGCCACCGCCATTTTGTAGTTTTTTTCCTTGAAGCCTACACTATAATGCGAGTCAAAAAAACTACACGACCCAAAAACCAACAGTGCTTCCGCTCTGAGTTTTTCCACTCGCGCTCAAAAAAAAAAAACAAGAATGGGAGTGGTGCAGGAGCGGGACTTATTCTGAATGGGAGCGGGATGGGAGTGGGAGTAACTTCACCAGGAGTGGGACGGGACAGGATTTAGATTTCTACTCTGGCCCGGGATCGGGACGGGACACAATTTTTTTCTGTGGGAGTGGGACGGGACAGGAGTGAAAATCCACTCCCGTGTCAGTCTCTACTCTAGACTCATGTTGAAAGCAAAATAATTAAAGTTTTCTGGGTATTTCATTTGACAAACCAACACATAGTGGAACAAAGCTGTAAGAAGAAGGAGGTTTTTCATCTTCTAGGTTTCAGTCTAAACCAGGAGAAACAGCAAACAGGTGAAAGAAGGAGCTCTGGCCCTCATGGAAAAACTTATAAACTAATCTTCAAAAGAATTTAGTGTATTATAAGACATCCAAATATATTTTCATCCAAACAACATGTTTATATAATGTTCAAAGTGATTTATGTGCTCAAACTTTCTTCTGCGTGTGCCTTCAGGACCATCAAACATTCTGATGAACAAATGTAAATAGCAACTGCTAAGCGACTTATGAAACCTGAAAGCAGGTCCAGCTGTTTCATCTTTAATTAGTGTGTTTCAAAGGCAGGTGTAGGAGCAGAAAAAGACAACATTTCCTATAGATGTTTTTGTTAACTGTTGGATTTGGCTCCTAGTTTCAGGGGTTCCTGCATTTTTAAATGGCAGCATTTTCTTTGTATTTGTTTTTTCTGCTGTTTAGAAGTTTGCATAATACATGTGTTTGCTGTTCTTCTTGCACAATGCTGTGTGTTTGCACATGTCTACCAGCACAATTTTTACTTTTATTTGTAGCATGTATACTCATGTTACATGCAATGTACATTATTTATTGTTATAATTGACTTTTAAATCATTTTAAATGTTTCTTCCATGTTCATTGGTAAGAACTTTATCGTTCTTTGCAGACACTCAAATTCTGGTTGTATCACACATTATTTTTTTATATCAATGGAGCAGAATCAGTTCACTTGCCATTTTTGTCCTTCACCCACAACACAATCACTTATTGCAAATGCTTTTGTTCCCCCACCCACTTACTTTAGACCCTTTTTTTGTGAACTCAGGATCTTTATGTAGTGGGTACTAACAATTACTAAAAACTAATCATGCCATCCCTGTGGTGGCACCATCATCATGTGGGGATGCTATTCTTAAGCAAGAACAGAGGAGCTGCTCAGAGTTGATGAGAAGATGGATGGATAGACGGACGGATGGATGGATGGATGGATGGATGGATGGATGGACGGACGGACGGACGGACGGACGGATGGCGCTAGCCATTTAACAGTCTTTCACTATAAACGCCAAACAAAGACCTCTCTTAATTAACTTCCAGGCCCTTTGTAAGACACAGCAAGTTTATTTATGTAGCACATTTCTGTCCAATGCAAAAGAAAGCTGCATTTTCGTGGCAATACAAATAATCAAAGAGAAAAAAAACAAATAATCAAAAGAAGTGTTTATATGCAAAAGATAAAATTAAATATACTTTATGTAACCCAAAAGGATTACTGTTTCTGCAAATTTGACGTCAAGCATGTCCACATTGAACGGGTCCAATCTAGAAAACAATCAAAGCGTTATATTCCAGGTGGGTTTTGCGGATAATCAGAAGTGTCCAGCATTAAGCTCAACTCTGAAAACAATAGCGACCTCACATCAGGCGACGAAGGTAAAAAAAAAAAATAGAGTAAATGAAAAATCCTTGTTTTCTACACACTCGAGCTACAAGAATAAGAAGAGTGAGGGCTGCAGTTCTGTGGTTGGGCTACAGGTGGCAGCATGGAAATGTCTCTCAAAATAGTGAATGCAAAAGCAACAAAGATATAAGAAACTGCCCCAATTTCATCTTATTTTATTGTCCTAATTAAAAAGGATTTTCTATCTACAGCAGCATCTGTAAATTCAGATGAGTTTTTAGAAGTTGTACAGATGTTGAGGATGTTTGGTTTTGATAACAGTTAATAATTCTATTCATTAAATGAATCCATCTTTTATTAAAGTTTACCTATAAAATATGTGTATTAGTTAATAAAGTACTTGTTTTTATATTTATTTTCTTTTATGAAAAAGTTTAGCGGACCTCAGTAGTTTCTAAACTCTTGCTACGGTCCTGCACACACCTAATGTGCATTAATACTGCTGCATGAACAGTTGAATCAATATGTGCTGTTGAGTTTAACCTTTGCACCCTGCAGGGATAAATGATTATATAAAGGCTACTTTAACAGATGCCAGGAAACATTTAATTTGACGCACATTTGAGAGTTTTCAGTTATGACTTTATTTGTGACAAACTGTGATAACTTTTCATAACAATTCTAACTTTCACAAAATGATTCATAAAGCTTATTTGAAGTGATATTTGTTGGTGAGGTGTTTCTCTCCTCAGTAAATGTATAAAATGCATATGCAGAAGTCATGTCCTGTTCTCCATGCCGACCACAATTTGGTGCTGCACCTGCTGCATGAGCGGGAAACAGGTCCTCACTTTCTGTGGAAGGCCTCATAAACCACTCACACTCATACCTAATTGCTTTCAGATGGGGCTAAATATGGCCGACCCTCTGGAGGTTTACGCAAATGAAGTGAGAAGTAGGTAGGGCGAGGCAGTAGCCACTTATTGGGAAAGCTGTGCAGCTGCCATCAACACCTTTGTTTATAGATGTTGGAGATCGGCCTGTTTTCCAGTGTAGTCCTGTTTCTCTGACTGTGACTGACTGGATGTGCTCTCTTTATCCTCTGACATGGGAGTTGGCTCAGAGCTCATCTGCCTGGCTGTGTGTTTCCTGGATGAAGCCGCCTTTTACAATTTCCTTTTGTATCTCTGGTTCCGTCTCCTTGAAACTCAGTCAGCGAAGGCAAAAATATACAAAGGCTTAAAATGGAAAAAAAATTAGTGTGCCTCATCAGGCTAAAGTAGAAGAACAATTTGACGTAGCTTTGGAGTCAGTGGGTCACATTACCTGGAAGCTATTGAAGAAAAGTCCCAACTTTTGCCTTTAAACATATCTTAAAAATTTAAAATAGCATAAAATTGCATAAAAGCAAGTGTGCCTTACATATGTATGTTATCTATTGGCATGATTTTATATTAGTTTGGTCTTAGCTGGTCCAAAGATAAGGAATTTATTGATTTATGTTTCCTAAGAGTTCTTGGTTTGTTGACGTCCCTAAATGCACCACCGCGTGTTATGCTGCGTTTACACCGGGGGCAGCTGGCGCGACAGAAGCAGCGAGTTTACATGCAAAGTCAATGGTTGACGCGCGTCAAGGCGCAGCAAAAGGTCCCGCGGCGCGTTTCG